TATTTTTAATTATTCACTCTTCACCTTCAGCTGGGGGGAAAATAATTGGAGACACTTCTCAAAACAGCTTTCTGATTAGATTTGGATTCTGTTAATTTATTCTGTTTTGGAACACAGAAACGTTTAATTTTGCTAACAATTATACAATAGGAAAGAAATTGTACAATAAGAAAAAAAAAAACTATTTTGAGAACATCTCACCAGTCACATATGTAACTTAAAGCCAAGACTCACAGTGTACTTAAAGCAAGAATTTTGCTTCCTTAAGTATAAGAATTGTCTTCTAAGAAAGTATTTTTTACAGTATAAGTTGATTTATTGAACACTTTTACAAATTACTTTTTTGCCTTTGGATGAAAGTGAAATTAAAATAATGTAGGTTCCTCTTTGCAGAAAAAACTTATCAATTATGCTGCTGTCAACTTAAATTTATTACTGAATTTGTCTATGTATTTTGATTTATTCTGAACTCATCTTGATGTATCCTTCACTGCATGTATTGGTACCTGAATTAGCCAAGGCCAAATGCAACTGCAGCTTAACTCCTGTTCTTGCTTCAGGTTTGAAAACACTGTTTTGGGCAGAACTCAAGTTTTTAGCTCTGAATTTTTTTGCAGTATAAAAAGGGACAAACATGTACACATTTCAGATAATTATGAGTCTTAACTAGAACTTCACCAATCTGCCAAGTTTGAAAATAAAAATATATTGACTTGTGTGCTTACTTCTGCCTGTGCTTGCTCTTCTGGTTAGCACTGCGAATCTTACATAATATGGTGTGCACACATAAACTTCAGAGCAATGACTTGAATCCTCTCTTCTTTCCTCTTTCTTTGGAAAGTTGAGGACCCAGGATAAGAGATGCAATAGAATATTTCGTAGTGATTTGTTATCTTGGGATGCCAGTGGCATGCAGACTGTGTATACATGTTTTAGTGTAGTTGAAGTAGATTTGACTTCTTTCCATGTTAGGTTGGTACAAATAAGACAAGGACCATACAAAAGCAGCTTTCTAGGACCATCTGGAATGTGGCTACTCCCAGCTGCTGCAGGTCAGAGACTAACTGGTCTAGTGTTGGCAGGTTTAATGTAATGTAAGGGGAAATCACTGCTTTTGTTTGATCTTCCTGTACTTGTTTCACAAGCTTTCATATACCACTCACTAATCAAGAAGGCAGCTAAGTGCTAAGAGAAAGGAAGTAGTCCAGCTGCTATTGCATTAATCAAAGCACACTAGGAATTTATAATCAGCTGTATAAATAGACTTCACAATAAAACCAATCAGTGTAGTGTCACAGGAAGTGGAATCCTGTGCCATCTGTATTCTTCTTTCCCTCTGAGTGCATAGTGTAGCATTATGTTGTTAGATCTATTTGATCATCTTTGCACTGCAGAAGTGTGAGCTACATAGAGGGAAGCCCACCTGAGGCTGCAGGTGCTGGGATGTGCTGCCTTTTGTCCATCAATCTTAAGTTCTTTCTGGAGCAGTTAATTTTGATCCTGTTGATCTAACCATCTGTTTTTGCAGAACACTCAGCAATTCATCTACTCCTTCTCCAGTTTGCTTTATCACATCAGGAAGTCACTTGTACAGTCATTTTGTGTGCCCTTTAATAAGTTGCACTCCTTGGCCCCTCCATATCTCATTGGTCCAGAGAAGAAATGCCAAGCAATGGAAGATCAGTTTTTGCTCAAAATGAAGAAAAACTTAATGTTCTATATTACAGCAAAGGGAAAATTTGCATATTTTTTCCTTTTTGTCCACATATGTTCTGTTTCTATATTGTCTGTCTTAATCAAGTCTGAAATTACCAGGCCACCAAAGGGAGTTCTGATTACTTTGTTTATTGCATTCTAATTATTGTGTTTGTTATCTTTTTAGATTCTCAGGGTGTAATAGGGATGGGTAGGACAAGATATGTGGATCTTTTATTTTGATGATCTTCTTGTTGTGCTAGAGAGTCAGGGAATTGAAATATTTTAACTTTACAAACTGGAAGAGGTTGAAATGTGTGTTGGCCCTGTGTCAGAAAGCCCTTCTATTTGTCACTGAGTTGTTAATAAAATTAAGGTTTGGAATTTTGCTAGCTAGGAAAAAATCATTAATTTGACAACAATACTCAAGCGTGGGTTTGGGGTTTTGGGTTTTGTTTTTTAGTTTTTTGGGGTTTTTTGTAGTTTTTTTGTGGGGGGTAGTTGTTTGGTTTCATTATTGTTGGTTTTTTGCTTCTAGTTGTCTCTTTCTGTTCTTAAGCCTTTTTTTAGATACCTTCTCAAGATCCTACAGCTAATTTCTAAACTGTATCTATTCCTTATCATCTACTTTTTATAATTTGGAATATGAATGAGGCGATATTACTTACAATCATGTGCATTTTGATCTGCAGTGGAGTCTTTACCAAAGTTCACAGCTTTTAGTTTTTTCTATTTGAAACTAAACTGTGGTCTTAGTGCCAGTTAATATTTTCAAATACTATTCCTGACTTCTTTTTTTTCTATTTTCATCTTTTTGTTAATCCTGCTTGTGCTCATGGAGCTATTGTAATTTGACAATATATAACATAATATTATTTCTTCTGAACAGTTGTGCTTTTTAAACCAACCAATTTCATTTTTAGGAATGTGAATCATACAACTGTACTCTGTCATCCATCAATCTGTGGGGTTTGGAATTCACTAGATGTGCTTCTTGATAAAGCTACTCGTTTCCCTGGGAACAGTGTTCAAGGCTGTGCTCTGGTCCTTGATGGTGTTTATGGTCTGGTTTGAAGTTACACTCAGAGAAAATTAAGAAAAAACCATTTTTTTCAAGCCTCATTTACAATATTGTGTTTATTACCTTTTACTTCAGATGTATTTTTTCCAGCCAGTCTAATTGCTCTTCTAAGAAACATTTCAGATTGTAACCCAGTCTCATAACTTCATATCTAAACAGCACTCTGCACTGCACTACTTTTTTTTCTTATTTTGTAAATGAGTCAACATACACAGCTGTGCAAATTCAGTTTCTTAAAAATTTGTTTCTCAGACATTCACTGGAGAAGTGATTTGATTTGCATAATCTTTTAATATTACCTTGTCTGATGGAAACAGATTTCCATTTTGAAGTGCTTGTGAATGTGCCATATACCTTTTAAAAACACCTAATTTGTAAGTGTCAAAAATATGTTTTGGTTTTCAAACAGAACAGCTGAAAGGTAGGCTGACACAATCAACCATCTTGACACCACCCTTGGAAAACAGCTTAGTGAGCACAACTTGCCATAATCTATGGCTGATGGTTTCTTTTTTTTTTTTCAAAGTAATTAGTGGTCAGTAGTATGTAGGCATTAGAATCTTCTCCCCCACTCCTTTTATATTATACTCTTTTATTCCTGAATCAATCTACTATGCTAAGTATACAAAAGAAAATTAGTGTGGTAAGGTAAAAAGTGCTGTAGAACTCATGCATACTTGAAAAAACTTAAATCTGATAAATATAGTTATGTGTATTTATGTAAATTAAATTATACTTAGTGTTCTAAGTTACCTGGACATGTTTTTATTGTTTGAACCCATGGTTAGTGGATTATACAGTAGGGTAAAAATGATAGCTGTGAGTTAAATTTTATTAATTTTATCATATACAAATTTTATTAATTTTATCATATATAAATTTTATTCTGGCTTTTTTGTTACTTTATCTTTTTCATTGATGTGCATAAGCAGGTGATATTCTTTAGGGCTCAGTGTTCCATAAAACCTTAAAAAGGCATTTTAGTCTAGTCTGTTTCTAAAGAATTTGAGTCATTCAAATTCCAGTAAATTAATCAATAATAAATAATAAATTAATTTTTATCATCTGTGGTTGCATACATGGGCCTGTGGAGATTTGCTCTGGCATACCTATTTTCATGAGAGCACTGCTCTACTTTTATGAATTCAGTAAACATTTTAATAAGCATGACTTTGTTCTGTTCTTGGGGAAACTCAGACTTATCAGTGTGGGTCTATTGAGGAAGGTGAGCACAGGTCCCCTGGGTGTGCCAATCCAGCAGTCTGGGCATGTTGGGGCTAATAAATGCATTAAAGAGACTGCAAGTTTAGGAAGTCACAACATTTTCACTATTTCTATATTTATCAAACATGTCAAGGAATGTGATCACAAGGCCTTCCAGGGATTAAGTGCTCTAGTATTTTGATTGTTTATAATTTTTTTTAAAACTGTGACAAAAGCCAAGTTTGCAATGTGCAGCAAAGCTTTCATATCTGTGAATGTGAGGAATGCCTGGCTGAGCTTTGAGATCTGTTCTGGATGGCAGGAGGAGTTCTCTGGTTGTATATTCACACCCTGCAGCTGGTGGGGATGTAGGCTTTTGGGGATGTGTAGTCTTTTGGCACATTTCCCATGACCTAAAGCATGGAATGAATTTTCCGTAGAGTCTGTAAATATTCTTCTGTAGATCAACTCCTCATTAATACTTGTGAACATACATGGGCTCTGAGCAGAAAAGTCAATCTCTCTTGGCTTGTAAATGTTATCAAAGCATTTTGAAGCTTAATGATGAGCACAAGATTTTGAAAATTGGAATGAGCACTCTCTTCCTACCATTACTGAGCTAACCAGAAAAAAAGAACAAGACATGAAGGAACCCAATCACATAAGAGAGACACCTGTAGACAGAGGTCTGTGGCAAAATGGGTTTGATTTCATGTTTACCTTGCTGAAACCTGTCTGTAGGAATTACTCAGCAGATTGATCTGTCCCATATAGTGGTGCTGTGTGCTTTTTTGTATGAACACAATAATGGTAAGTGAATAGAAAATTGTATCTCGACTATCTGAGGGTGAAAAAATATAGGTAAGCATTGGAATGGGTGGAAAAGATTTTGCTATTGATATTTTTTTTATTTCCAAGAGTTACATTTGCCAAACTTCATAGTTTATTCCTGTAGCCAATGATACCAGATCATAAACACGTGTGTGTGTGTGTGTGCTCGTGAATAGGCATGCAAAATTACCTTTGAACTTCTGGCCAGCTTCAGTCAGATTTGTCTTCTAGAAGAGTTGAAAAACAAGTTCCTACAAATATGGTGAAAGTAGATGACCAGTGTAAGGAGGTGACAAAAAATTGTACGTGCCTATAATCATGAGAGAACATTCAACAGGTTCTCAAAATTCTTAACCTATTGCAAGTGAATGAGAAAAATAATCTGAGTGTAGTAGTATCATCGTGTTCTGGCTCTAAAACCTTTGGGAAAACAGTTATGAGTTCTGCCTGAAGACCTGATTTTTATGCTTCAGGAAAAAAAAACTGTGGAGTAACTGGAGCCTTAGTAATTAATGTAGGAACATTGATTAAATATAGCAAGACTCCTTTTGATGTTTGTATAGAAAATGATTGCATCTTGTTTATATTCACAGTGGTTAAAAACTTAGTCATGTTTTTCACCATAGGCTTATTCTGATGAAATATTGAACTTTTTTTTCTTGTCATCTTTTTCTTGTTATTTTGGCATTTTGAAGGGTGCAGGTTTTTCTTCAAACACTTGCATTTATGTGTTTATGTGTTCCAGCTGGTAGTTTATGGGTTAAATCCATGAGAAATTTTGTATCCTTCTGTCTTTTTCTTGAGGAAGAAAGGACCACATATGAATGCTGTGCTTGCAACCCGTGCTAATTCCTGCACATGGCCTGCAGTTGCAGCCTGAGTCAGCTGAATTTCAGTGTATAAGAATGAGGTGGAGGTAGAGGTGGACCTTCCGGTTGTGAGTTTGGCTTTGCTCTTTCAACTGCTTGCTTTGCAGGAAGGTTGGACAAGCTTAATTAGAGAAAAAAGTATTTTTGCTTAAATCTTTGTCTAGAAAGCTGAATAAAATGTGGGGCTTTTTGTGGGGGGGAGGGCATTGATTTGGTCAATATTTGCCATCATCCAGACTATTAATGAAATTATTAAATATGATTTAATAATTATTAATATCCAGAAGGGGCTAATGTAACTTTCCAAATTAAGGTATGAAAGAGAATTTAAGCATGTTATAGATTGTTCTAGCTTAGCACATCTGCCAATAGCATTGATTTTTAAAAGAAAAAAACAGCTCTTATATAGTGAAATCTGTCTGTACTGCTAAGTATTTTAGCATCTCCAGACCCCAATGTGTCCTTGCTGAGACATCTCTAGTATATACAGGGCATGAGGATGAAAGAAATATTTGTTACTAAGGTCTGCTAGAGAAATAAACCAACAATAATGCTATTTCTCTCTTATCTAGCATATTTTGAATCTGAAGAATTCAAAGTACTTTAATGCCACTTAATTAAGCTTTAAACCTCTGTTATAGATTGATTATATTCCCTTGTTTACAGATGGGAGAAGTACAACTCAGTCCAGTATAAAACATTGCAAGGTGAGATCTTGAGAACAGCCAGAAATAAAACTCCACTTTTCTCCTTTAGACTTTTATCCAGCAAATGCTTCTGCAGGTGTTTAAATTTCTGCACTGCTTTCATGTTTAATCCTTAATACCTGAATGAATACTGGTACATGTGGGAACAACAGTTAGGAGTCTTGCATGTTTCAATCTGGGAAATGTAAAATCTCTAACAGACTTGAGGCTGGTCTTGGGTGTTGCATTTCGAAATATATTAATAAATATATCTGCCCAGAGTAGTAACTTTTAAATGTCCTTTGGTCAGCCAGAGGAAAGTACCATATTTTGTTGCAGTTCTGAGAATTGGAGACTAGACATGATGTCTCTATAAGTGTCCTTGTGCATTAATTTTATAAGTATAATATAAATGTTCCATAAATATTGAAGGATATTTGGGAACTGTGGAGTACCTACCATGAGGCTAATTTCTCAAATTGCATTGCTGCTTATTTTAGTGCAGCTCCTCCAGTCAATTGAATTTCTGCCATGTGTTTACCTTGCCCCAGTAGCCTGAACATACATTTTCGGACAGCTGAGAGGCACAAACACTGTGTTTTGCTGGGACTGTGTGTGAGTGTCTTTCTTCCCTTGCTGGGTCACTGCTGAGCTGCTGCCTGGTTTAAGAGCCATAGGAAGGCTGTTGTCACAAGCTTCCATTTGCTCTGTGAGTTTGTTTTAACGTCTGCCTTTGCCATTCTGTGTTGCAGTGTAGAAATGCAATTGTGAAGAAACAAACAAGGGGCTGTTGATATTCCAAAATGTTTTGGTGGCAGTAATACCCAGCCAAGATAGGGTACCCTGCCAGAGAGCTTGAAATCACAACAGAGGCACACAGCTGTTAAAAAAACATTTTAAAAATGAGAAAACCTGATTAGTTTGGACTGGGTGAAAGTCATCTTTCACCCAGTCCACTTGTCACAGCAATGGCAGCTGTTTTGGATGCAGTGAGCTGTTTATATTTTAACTGTAGCTGATGTTAAATTAGTGAAATAATAACTAAAGTATAGTTTATATGTCAGGGAAGTGCTCTGCAGCGAATGTACCTTTTAAATGCCTGAATAGAAATGCAGAAACAGATACATAATATTTTCTCTTTTTTTTTCAGTTGCAGAAAAGTATACTCTTAATAGTTATATTGTAGTATGAGAAAGAGAGGAAAAACTATTTTAAAAAAGATTTTAAAACTTGCAAAATTATATAGTTTAATTATTCAACCATTGTCTATTTGGTGATTGTAATGTAAGTAGTTTATTCCCAGTTGAACTCGTAATTAAAAATGCAGCAAAGCAGAATACTTTGCCTTGGTATTGCAGGAGAGAAGAATGGTATGTTCTGTTGTGTTTGGCCCAGGCAAAAGGGTGCTATAGTCACAAAGGGAATAATGCAGAATCACCAGCAACTTGTTTCATAGCTGTTCATATACTGTATGGATAAACTTTACTTGTATGTCATGTACATCACGTAGAAGCACTGTATTCTATTTTTTTGCCCTTTGGCTATGATCTCAAGTGCCTAATAAGATGGCAAGACAGAAGTTTTTGCTTGAAAATGCTTTTTGATGGTAGATATTGTTAAGGTTGCAAATATCAAAGCATCCAGACATTTTTGTATGTCTCTATTATTTTGTAACCTTTTATGCTACAGCATGAAAGAGAGAGAGGAATAAAAGGTGCACCTACTCCTAATAGGGTTGTGTAGCAGTAAGGGACATGGAATAATCTGATGGCCTCGTTATTTCCCTGGCCCCCTGGGTAGCTGAGCATCGTGTTAGTAGAGCTGGTAGTACCTGATTGCTAGTGAGATGTAAGAATGAGTCATAGACTCTGCTATGCACTGTTCCTGGGTCCTGAAGGTAAGAGGCACCAAGTGTCCTCTTGTCTCCTCTGCCCAGTGAGTTGCACACCATTTATTCATGACTTTGTTACATAACTTGAAAGACTTGGATATAGTCACTATTGAATGTCAGATATATTTTCAATTCTTTATTTCTCCTATTTATGGTCAGTTTAAAAATAGGGGTATATTGTATTTGCGTCATTTCATTAAATTTGGGATATGCTGCTGATATTTGGAGGTTGTGATGAGTTGGGGACAGGACAGAAAGAGAATGCAGCTGGCTGATAGTGTGCAGGCATGCTAAGTAGAGTCCTAGAAGTGCACCAAACTTTTCAAATTCACTTTAGCACCCCTGTCCCCACTCTGTGTCCCTTCTGTACAGAAAATTTCATGCAGATTGCCATATTTCATTTTAATTTTCTTTGTTAGTTGATTTCTACCTCATCTTATGAGAAATTAAGATAATAAAATATACCTAATACCTGTGTTTTGAAGAAATATTAATCACCCATCACTGGTGAAAAATACATTGAGCTATGCTGTAGTGGTCAGGTGTGTGCGCAGTGTTTTTTAGATAGGCTGTTCTTACTTTTTTTGTTTTGTTGAATATGAACAATAATATCTTGCCATAGATGTTCTGAGCCAAAATTGACTTTATTAAGCTCTAAGAGTCACAGCAATTTAAATAGCAGCAGCATTTTCCCTACCCTGTTAGTTGATGAGAAAACAGGGATGTAGCTGAAATGAGGGAATGAGAAATATGGAGTCTAGCAGGGGAGGGGAAAACAATGTATTTTCCATTTGGGTTGTATCCAACAACAAAAATAATCTAATTTCCTTTTTCACCTCTGTGTAACGTGGTGGGAATCATAAGTAACAGAAGTATGGACAAGTACAGGGAAGAAAGATACAAAGATGGTGAGCTGGTTTGACCGTGTTTGTGATCACTTATGCAATCAAGTCAGTCACAGATTCTCCTGCCTCACCTCCTTCACATGCTGACAGAGCCAGATTTCTCTGTTATTTTGGAGTCCTGTTAGCAGCAGCGGTGGCCACCTCCCTGATTCTATGGGAGATCACCTTCCAGGAAGCTGACAGCAGATATGTTTACCAGCAGCAACAAGGGACTAAAATAAATGGAAGGAAGATTTTTATTTTTTTTTCTTTTGCCTGAAGGAGTGAATGAGGTATTGAGATGGGACCTCCTGTAGAGGAAATTGTGAACCATGTGATTTTTGTCTTGGTTATGTTGTATTAAAAGTTGCACCCTGTTCTTACTTAAAATAGTGTGCTTTGTGTTGTTTAAAATTATGTATGTGTTTGAAAATAATTTGGCTTTTAAAAAAAAGTCCTGCCAAGTAGACTGACCCTACATACTTTTATATTTAAGTCTTTATTCCATGTAGAATGGTGGAATATGAATAAGGCTGACAACTCATTAGGTTAATGAGTACACATGCACAAGATGAGGTGCCTTGGGCCACAGAATGCTTACAGTCAAAATGAATATTGAAATTTGGGCTTGTTTGGAAATCCCAGTTCATACAGAGAAGGAAAAAATTCTTGGTTAAAAATAGTCAGGATTAGAATGTAGAAAACCTTAACAGATGAGTATATGTGTTTTAGGACATGTGCTCTTTGATTTCTTTAACGAGAGATTCACATGTTGAATTGATTACTCCGTAAGTGTTTCCCACATCATTTGTTAGGGTTTTGACTGAAACATCCCGTGCCAGCTTTTGTAGAGACAGGACACTAGACTTGGTTGGAAAGAGTAGGAGGTTTAGTGAGGCTCTCTCCTGTTTGTGGGCTGTTGGAATCCCTCCCTGGGGATTCCTGGCGCATGGCTGGAGCGTGGGAGGTGTAACCCCCATGGTGCTTCTGTCCCCATTTTACTTCAGCCCATCTCACCCAGCCCCTGCCCCAAGGTTAAGTTTTTTGTCTGTTCTGAGGGTCCTATCAATGTTTCACAAATTTTCCAAAAGTGAATGTAGGGCTTCTACATGAGGTAGTAAGACACATTTACTGAAGCTTTCTAGAACATTTTAATCAATCTGAAGATTAGATTTAGTTTCCTAGGCCAGTTTTTTTTCTTCAGGCAGACACAGACCTGTTCTGGAAATGCTTACTGTGATACAGATGAGAGTTTAAAAATAAATCTCTTGGTTTTCATTTGAGGGAAACCCGACTGGGAAGAAAGTTTCATTACGTGCTGAGTGATTGCAAAAGGGTCTTGAGAATATTAACCTTATCTATAGATGCTTCACATACCTCTTCATTAGCATTGCATCCCAATGAGTGTGTCTATTTGTGACTTCCAGAGTGGGAATTTCTAGGGATGAGGCAGTAGCTATCAAAAATGCAGTTAGAGCTAATTATTGTGAAATGGGTATTTTATTGGCACAGATGACAAAAGTTGAGAAATGCAAATTATCCTTTATCTGTGCATTTCAAATCACTTTCCAGATGAGCTAATTAGGTTTCCTAGATAATTAGATGTACCTTATAAATAAATAATGGGAAGTGACTTGTCTAGTATCACATTTTAAATCAAAAGGTACCTAAAATGAAACCTGAGACCTAGTTCCACATTTCTGCCATCAGCATGCAGTTGGTCTGTACTGATCTTACATCTAATTAAGATGCATTTGCAGAAGACCATGAAAAGTTGAGGACTTGAGTTTTCAGCTCTCTGTTGCAGCTCATACTTCATATTTCACAGGGTTGCTGCAGAAGAGGAGCAGAGCTCCTTTGCTGAATCAAGTAATGGTTATTTAAGAAGGCAGGCTGTGGTGAAAGTGTGGGGAATGGCTGTATATTCCTGTAACTAGGTGGGAGTTTTGACATTATTGACTCGAGTCCTGCTTTGAGAACAGTCTCTAGATTGAATAGACAGTAGTTTGATGTTCCCCTAGCTCAAAAGATTGCTCTACTTGGGGCACTGCATGTGCATGAATTTTTTATTTTTTTTTTTGGTTGTTTGGGGTGTTTCTTTTATTTATAACTGAAGGTCTTATTGATCCTGAAATTTTAGTGTTTGTTTTTCCTGATAATTTCTTTATCTTTGTGAAAGAATGGACTGGCATTTTGTCTGTAGATTACCCCATTTTGGTTGCTTTGAACTCAAATTGGGTCTTATGAACTCAAATCTGTTATTTTTGGAGTATTGATGTTATTGATAATGCTGTCTCTACTGAAGAATGGCATACTCTTTTGGAACTGTATGCATGTAATTTATGAGCTATGGAGGGCTCAAGTGCTTTATATGTAATGAGTTAGTGTGCCTGTGGCTCTTATTTCAGCTTCTAGCGTGAAAAGCAGGTTGCTGACCATGCAAAACTCACTTTGGCACTAGAGTGTGTAGTGACACTCAAGAGCAGTAGGTGTTGGAGTATCTTTGTTATGTTTGAAATGAACCTTTCAGAAGCTTAAACTGAAAGTTGTTTTCCTGACTCCTTGGTAATTTGCTTTGATGCATGTGTTTGCAAAACCTTCTGGCAGCACCCTTGTACAGTGAGCAGGGCTAAGATGCTGTGTTGAACCCCCTGGTGGGGGAGTGATATGTGGACTTCAGAAAGTGACTCCTAGCTTGTAAAATTTTATCATTTCTTTGAAGTTTTGGGGAGACCATTCAGGAAATTGAGTACACTTCTGTTCGGAGATCTGCCTAATGGAAAGGCAGAATTCATGTTTTTATGTTACATGGATCACAAAAAAAAAATTAAAATGGCATTTTCCATATAACAAAACTTTAAAAAGTTAATGATGTTAGTGAGGTTAATATTTTTACATATTTTAAGTTCATTGTGGTG